TCCAATTTATATGGTAAAATTGACGCCATCATTACTGTCTTTACAGTTTGTACAATCGCTGAGGATTAAGGAAGCCTCTGGAGCTGAAGTTCAGTTATGGTAATAGACCTTATAGTGTGGTGCAGGTATGACATCAGAACCTGAAAGACTAATTCGCCGCTGGTTCCTTACGAGATTTTCCTATGGGGTTTTATAATGTGGTTTTTCGATTTATGTGTAAAATAAAGCCTATGGTAAACATAAATTGACTATACGTTGACGTTTTGTTCTAAAACATAAATTACACGCACCCATAGTGAAACCGCGAATTTTGAAGCAGTTAAGTTCATATTTGAAAACGCACGTTTTTCATAAGTAACTAGATAAGACGTAAGACTAGATAAGGTGTTCCGTTGTTTCCAACATAGTTACAAAACCATAGTTCCAATGAACATTCGCAAACAGCTTTGCAAACTCACGAGGAGCTGTGGTTAGAAGAATAGTTTCTTGTTAAAATAATGTGGACTCAATTTTCAAAAACACACTACTAATGCAACTCAACCCGTTCTCGGGACACTTGGGACTGAGTCAGTGCAATGGACAGGATAGAAAACGTTGTACTGTTGTAGCTTGCACGATTTTATTAGCATTGTTCAGTCAAAAACCTTCGGACATTTTCCATTTTAGAAAATGTAAAGGTCAGAAAGATTGTGAACGTAAGTTTTGTTTCGAAATTTCGCTCATGGTGGATGTTCTGTTGGCTTAGTCGGTGCTGTTTCAGTGCTATTTTTGCTCTCTGGGACAGTGAAGTTACGCTTGATATTTTGGGCGTGGGTTTTCAGCAGTCCTGTTTTCCACTGTGGTTATCATGAGGATGATCCCATCAGCCAATCAAGACAGAGATTTGATGAGTTTGCATCTTACACAAGCACACAGACATGATTGAGGCTGCTCTCTGTGGTGAAATTACAAATTACAGTTGAGCAAGGAAGGGCAGAATCAGCAACCAAACATGCCAGAGGTCAGAGGTCTTTAAATACTCAAACACCCGGACACGCACACACACATGCATACATGGAGTATCTTTTTAGCACATGCTTTCAAAGAAAGGCTCTCATGCACTCTCTCTCACACATTCACACACTTTTCCAGGCACGCGGTGTGTGATAAGCATGTATCTGTTTGGATAGCTGCACACACACACAGTGGGAAACAGCGTGAGGCGGTTTAGCCCAGGCCGATTCCCAGCTTTTTAACTAACAGAGGGGGCACTTTAACCTGGCACAATGCAGATATTCACAAGCATGTCTATCTGTCTCTCCCTCTCTCCGCCACAAACATCTGCTTGTTTCATATGCTAGCAGTCATGTTTTATTACACACAGAAAAGCTGAAGTCTCTTTCCACTTTATGGCCCATGACATAATCTTTGATGCACGGCCGACTATGTTGCTTGTGTAATAATTGAACCCAGACTCAATTGCGTTAAACATACTGTGAAACACAAAAAACTTTTGCGCTATCTGCTACCATTTGAAATTACTTTCTTTCGCAAGAGATGTCAAAGTGTCTCGCTATCCATGTGCTCAGTTCTCAGGGTTCAGTAGAATTGGAAAGGGTTTCATAACATTTAGAACAATCTCTTTATTTTTTTTTACCATAGTTACTGCAGTTACTGTTACTGCAATTATTTTCCTGTGAAAAACTCCATGATCCTAGGGTTGATAGGGTGTTGCAATTTGGGGGTGTTCAAGGTGATTGCTATTGCTAGGGCTTTGCTAGGTTCAATACTTGTTGCCACGATGCTAGGGTTCTCAGTGTATTGCTATGTCGCCGCTGGGTGATTGCTAGTGCTTTGCTAGGTGTAAAACTCAAGGCCACAATGTTAACATTGTTAGCGTCTTGCTATGTGGTGATTCCAAAATCGCATACTGTCTGAGTAGGTTCTACATTTGACTTTACTTGTAACCGTTAAAAAAATATGTTCTATTTTTAGTATGAATATGGGTATGAATGAAATTCAGACGTACTACATCCGCCATGTTGTTACTGTCACATGATCTACCAGTCTCAGTTGCGTCGCTTCACTGCCATTCATAAATCCTCTCCCGTGGCCTCATGGGATAGTAAAGTGTCCATCGAATACACAGTTCACAATCTCGGTGGAAGTAGTAGGTCATCCAGGGACTTTTCGGCTACTGTTTTTCGGATACTATGTAATCGGACATACTACTCTTTAGGCGTACTGTTTTTTGCATACTATATAGTAGAGAAGTATTCAATTTCAGACGCAGCATGGGTGTTTTTCTTAGTGAATGCTAGTGCTTTTCTAGGTGCAGAACTCGCTGCCACGATGGTTGAGTTGCTATCATGTTGGTTACAGTGGTAAGGTTGTTAGAGTGTTGCTAGTGCTTTAAACATATAATTGTGTAAATTGTATTTTGTGTATATTTGTATATATCTTTTTTGCTTTCTCTATCTTGTATTTTAAGCACACTTGGTCAATAAAACCTATTCTGAGTCGTTGCTAGGTGCAATACTCTGTGTTGTTAGCATGTTGCTAGGGTGTTCTCAGTGGTTGCTAGGTAGTTACTTACTGGCCCCTGTCAATGATTGAGTTGCTCTTTTGATATCTGTGTCTTTTTTTGCCTATTTTATTATCTGTCAGGTGGAAATCTGATTCTTAAGAAAAGCAACACCTCCTATCAACAAACCCCACAAGTTTTTGAAGCAGCAGTAACGCTTGCCTGAGCAGAAATCACTAATAACTGGTATTTTGTTGGTGACCATGGTAAAAAGACATGCAATACTATGCAATGCTGTGCAAAAATGTAGCAATTCTTACTGATGCATTGTCTATCTCTTGCACATCTCGAGCCATTTTATGCACATACACATTACATTCAAAGACACACATACTATGTGGCTACTTCATACAGCAGTTGGCCAGTTGACAGGAGACCACTAGAGATCACAGCAAAAATCCAAAGCTGTTAGATCCCAAGTGTCATAAATACAGCTTTCCAGATGCACCTCCAGGATCAGCTCACACACGTGCTGCTCACAGAGGAGAAGACCTTGAACGGGCTTGACGTGACTGTTTAGACCCCAGAGAGAAGATGTCAACGCTCTGTTCTGTAGGCTTGAGGCTTGGAGAGCTGTGGTCGGAATATTATGCTGAAATGAGCCTGTAATATTACACACTTACTGTATGTACACTGTGTTCTGTGTGTCATGAAAGACGGATCACGTATGTCCTGTGTTTAAAGAGGCACCCTGCAATTATCCCATGCAAACAGGAGTTCCCCTCATCTTTGTTTCCACCGAGTGCTCGGTTCTGCATGATGTCATATTGTCTGTTGGTGGCCTTGTGGAGGAACTACACTTCTGATCATCATTTCTCTTGCAGGACAATAGAGCTGGATTTGTTGGGTATTGTATATGTGCAGGAAATACTTGTCCCTGACTACTGTGGTGTTTCCACTGACTAGTCAATGCTGTGATGCCATATCTCACTCTCTGAGTTTGTCGTCTGCCGCTTTAAATGCTCGTGCTCTTCATCAGAATGGATTCTGATTGGCTGTCAATGTAAATCGTTCATCAGCTGGAAAAGATCGTTCTCAAATCCACTTTAATCCCCGGTACACATTGTATGATTTTGGGGTGTCCCAGAAGAAAGATGACCTATCGTGTTGATTTCTGTGGTCATGGCTCCTAAATGGCGTATTGATCAACTCGACATGGCGCTAAAACTTAAAACTACTTACCTCAAGCTCCATTTGCAAAATTGGCATGCCAAGCTGGCCTGTTTCCCATAGCCATGACCGCATACATATTCTCTTCTTTCGCTTCCTCTTCTTTTTTTCAGCATACATACAATTCTTCTTTCTCTATTTGTTTATCACTAGCGCATGCTGATGGCATTTTATTCTTCTATACTCCCTTGCGTCGAAGTCTACGATTCAATAAATGTCATCATTGTACAGTTTAAATACATGTCCTACCCAAGTTTATTAGATCCATGTCATACAGTGTGATTTGTAATGATCTTATAGGATTGCCGAAATCGCACAATCTGTGGCAAGCCTCCAAGGTTAGCAAAAAAAGCTAACGCCTGCTAATGCTGCGGTACGCAGGGAAAGAGACCAGAGCGGCTTATCATTTAATGAATCGACAGCCTATCGGCTAATCTTCTAAATGTTTGCTCTAAATTATTAGTTTTGGATTGATCTAGTTTACACCCCCCAAAAAACGCTGTTTTATAACAGAAGTCATGGACAATTGTGCAGGTGTGATTCAGTTTATGGCACTTCTCATTCATTTCTATAGTATCCGCAAACAGTGATTGACTGCCACACAACTATGAATGAAATTAAATGACGTCAAGGCTGTAATGTGATTGGTTATCAAGGCACACGTGATCCAAGTTGGCCGTTTAACTTTCTCCAATGGTAGAGCCATGGACCCTCGTGTCTCCCATTAATAAGACCATCTCTATCGTTCTGAAAGTGATTCCAACGATATACCTTCACGGTGAACGTGATTTCACCAAGTACCACATGTTCCTGGATCAACATCTTTGTTGATCCTGGATCAACTTTCAGATTTGAGGGACAAGTTTACAGTTTATGTCAGGTTTAGGTTTAGAACCAGAGTGAATTATTTAAACATCAGTGTTATTCACATATCATTATCCTCTGATTTTAGGGAAAAGTTATGGGTATTGTTAGGTTTAGGGGTAGGGATTGGGTAAGGACTACATTTTGGGACAGGAATGTTGATCCAGGATCAACAAAATATGTTGATCCAGGACCATGTCTTACTTGGCAAAATCACGGTGACCATCATCATGACGTTATCATTATTGTTGTGGTGTGGACTTCCCTATTCTCATAGAATTAGAACAGTTACTAGAATTTTAGAGTTATCATAGTTTGGTGTAAACTTGACTTTATATTGAAATGCATAACTAAACTGTAGATTAAGTTGTAGAGAATCTAATTGTCTTCTTGTCTTTTTCTCTTTTTAGGTGTATCTCATTAATGTCACATACTCTGACTCCACATCCCACATCATCTACAGAAGATACAGTAAATTCTTTGACCTTCAGGTAAGCTTACTTAACTTTAACAGTTGCGAATTCTCCCTCTGTCTATCTTCTTTTACTTTACTTTTATATTATTTTTTCAGGTGTTACCTCAGCACTAAGTTTAATGTCTTTTTAATGTTGGGCTTATGCAAGCCAGGGCTATGTTTACACTCCTATTTCTCCTTCTTTCTTACATTTAAATGTGCTTTATTAGCATTACACATTAATAACAGTGTATTTTTATTCCCACAGCAGTGGCAAGTTAGAGGGAAATTAATAATAAGGGGGAGAAAGAATGTGATATGAGTCTAATGCTATTTAATGTAGCATGGCCGCAGCAAAGGGGTTACTCTGAATGACATTTATGGGTGTATTTTACAAATTAAAGTCTTAACTCTGTAAAAGAGCTCTCAGGACACCTCAGCCAATAACAGTATTTGCTTTGGAAGTAGAATGGAGGGACCGCAGCGTTCACACCCAACCCTTCAGGTGCAGCAGGCCCCTCTGTAAAGTCTGGGAAGAAAGATCATGTGTGTGTTGGTGTGTGAGGACGTGTATAGGGTTTGGATGACTGCGCACATTTAGTTGCAGTGTAAGCATGTCTCTGTGAACATGTCTGTACAATTGGTACAGTAGTAGATATGTATTTTTTTTGTGGCTAGCACTAACAAAAGTGCTAAAAAGTAAAATTTTATCGGCATGTTTTTGGAAATTTACAATGGGAATGTTTTTTTTTATTTTTAAACAGTAATATTGTGAAGTATTATTACAATTTATACAATTATTTTTTATTTTAATATATTTTAAAATATATCTTTTTTTGTGATGGCAAAGCTGAATTTTTAGCATCATTACACCGGTCTTCAGAGTCACATGATCCTTCAGAAATCATTACAATATTCTTATTTGCTGCTCAAGAAACATTGCTTATTATTTTAAATGTTGAAAACTGTTGCTTAATTTTTGTGGAAACTGTGATGAGATTCTTTTCAGGATTCTAGAGAATGATGAATAGAGAGAACAGCATTTATTTGAAATATAATACTTTTGTAACTATCTTTGCCATTTTTACTGTCACTTTTGATCAATTTAATGTATCCTTTGCTGAATAAAAATATTAAAATATTATATAAAAACTTACTGAGCTCATACTTATGAACAGTAGTGTAGTAGTGTAGTACTTCATGGTAATACCATTATATTTTAATAATGTACTATAGTATTACCATGTTGTTGTTTTTTAACTTAAACCATAGTAGTGCCATATTTTTGGGATATGTATCATGGGAACACCTTGGTTTTTGACAAGGTAACAGGGTGATGCCACTTGCAGGGTTTCCTGGTCATAAAAAACCTGGAATTATCAGGTTATTTTAAAATAGTGTCGTCCAGGCCTGAAATAGTCATGGAAATTAATAAAACAATAAAACGTTTTTTACATTTCTGAAATGTTTATATTTTATCAGCTTAAAATTCCTCTTTGTGGTTACAATCCCTGCAAAAATACATAAATAAATAAATAAAAATGGAAACTGATTGGTTAAAACAACATAGTACTATCATATACATCAACATACATCAACATCTGACATATCATACACTGTTTTTGTTTTTGGGACGGATGTATGTGTATGTGTGTAATGTTTTTTTTTTTGTAGTTGTGTGTGTAGGGAGTTCTGGGCTCCCCTTGGGCTCTTCTACATATCTACAGTCTGTTGAGGTTATTAGTGGTTAGTGTTGTGTCTCAAAGACTCCAGTGTTTAACACGGGAGCTAATGGCGGCCATGTTGTGTACAGGGCGGAGGGATGAAGTCAAAGCCTCCATTGATAAGGGCTGAGAGGGCGACTAACTCAGTCAATCACTTCCCTCCTCTTGAGTTCCTGCCTCTCCGTGTGGGATATACGACAGGAACAATAACAAACATTAGGAAGAGGGATGTGCCTTTTACGAGGTGTCAGCAGATGTTTCAGATCATTCTAAGAATGTATAAATAATGCACCCGGCTGTGCTTCATGGCTTAAGTAGTTTTGTAGTTTAGAGGCTTAGTTTGGTTTTGGATAGGACACTACTGTTTAAAAGTTTGGGGTCAGTAGGATTTTTTTAAGAAACTTGTTATTCAGCAAGGATGCATTAAATTAATCAAAGTGACAGTAAACCCTTTCTTAAATGTGTCTAAAGATGGTTTTGTTGTGTATTAGAGCAGTCATCAATGTAAGAACTCATTATCTTTCAGTGTTACTGCCAATGGGCTGTTGGTTAGCATTAGCATTGCATGTTTAAAAGTGTCGTTGAACTCCAAGCTAAACAAGTGAATTGTGCTTAAAAGCTTCCCACACACTGACCGCTGGTTAAACACTATTCAATCATTCTTTAATGCTCCACAGTTCATTTAAAATAAAGTATAATTCACGCTGGCCAAGAATAAGGTCCTGTGCTTTCATTTGGCTAATTTTCTGTTAGCTGAGCTGAGGTCTTTAGTTGTCCAAACACATGTGCAAACCCAAATGTGAGACGTCTGCCAGTTCGGCCTTAATTGTACTGACAAAGGCCATCATATTCTGGAACATCCTTTAATTTTCCCTTACAAACATTTACCATTGTAACTATAGTTTACGATGTGATAGCCATGCGACTGCAGTTGTTAGTGCAACACAACTGTGGTTAGCCTTGGTAAGAATTCAAAAGTAAAAAAAAAGCACAGAAAAATTCTGAAGGCCCCAATAATAATGCTTTTACAGTAGTAATATAACTGCAGGAACTGTTTTGAATGTTTGGAAAGAATAATTCTTTATGGCTTTAGTACATTAGCAGCATGATTTCTCTTCTAACACACTGGGAAAAGAAAACAAGTCTGTGGTGACATTGCTGTAAAATGATATTACGTTGCGTCTTGCACGTTTTGCAATACTTTCAAAGTGAAATGTTCAGTGAGTGGCGCTGAAAGCGTTTTCAGTTTTATCCGAAACAGATGAATGTGAATGGTAACATTTTATTAAGTTGGTTGTTGTATGTTTTGCGGCAGTTCAGAAATGAGATGTCCGGTGAGTGGCGCTAAAAGGTTAGTGCTTACCTACACTAAACTCCACCAACAAAAGCCAACGTGAAATAAAAATACATTTGTGTTTTGAGTTGATATCATATATTGCAAGGAGAAAAAAAAAATGCTGTTGGTGTTTTAATGCCAAATTTGAGCTGAAAACCGCAGTGAATTGTATAGGTATGTTTTTTATTTTATTTTATTTTTTGGGGAGATATAATGTAGGTATAGGCATGTTTTTCCACTTCCTATGCGGAAAAAAAAATGGTTTTGTAGAAACCATAGCTAACAGTCATCTAATTTTTTTTGCCAATGGTTATGCACAGTGAAATATGGCTATTAAGCAAGCACTATGGTCATAAGCGGTGGGTGTATATTCTTGGATGTATATCAGGAAGCCTGTATTGTTTGTACTTCTAGGTTCTTGTTTAAAGTTTCAGGTTTATTTTGTCCTCTTTGGTCTCTGCGGAACAGCCACCCACAGAGCTTCTTATGTATAGCTAACTCAGACTTAAACTGTGGACTAGTGGCAATTTTGTGATGTTATGTAAATGGAAACTTGCCTCTGTCTCAAAGCTTGGAGACTGGGTATAGTGGATTCTCTATCCCACACACAAGGGTATGCAGGTACAGACTGAAGTATTGTGAGCAGAATGTTAAGAGGTGACCTCTGTTGTTTAGGTTACTCCTCTCATACTCCTTAGAGGTGGTGGTTGTGTCTCATTGTCAAGTACTCTGGCAGGGCTCCAGTACTGTACTAAGCTCAGGTCTTCATCTTATCGTACAGCACTGCAGAGTCCTGATTTCTGCATAATGCACCAGGTGATTCATCCTGAATTTTTGACCCTATAACTCTAAATTTGTGTTCTTTTCTTAAAGGAACACTCCGACTTTTGGGGACTTTAGCCTATTCACCTTATCCCCCAGAGTTAGATAAGTCCATACATACCTTTTTCATCTCCGTGCGTGCTATAAGTCTGTTTGACGCACCCACCGCTAGCCTAGCTTAGCACAAAGACTGGATGTAAATGGTTGCAGCTAGCATACTAATCCAAATAAGTGACAAAATAACGCAAACATTTTCCTATTTACATGTTGTGATTTGTATAGTCACATAGTGTACAAAAAACAAAGTCACATGAGACACAGACATATTTTAACCGTATAAATACTGGGAACTATATTCTCTGAAGGCGAAGCACTGCTACTTGGGCGGAGTGATAACCGCACGGTGCTGCTATTATTATTTTATAATTACTGATACACTACAAATGTTTCGTAATTATCGGTCTACACTAGCGTTCAAAAGTTTGTGGTCTGCAATAAAAAAAAGAGAAAGTGACAGTAAAGACATTGATAATATTACAAAACTCAAATAAATGCTGTTGTTTGCTGTCCATTTATCAAAGAATCCTCAAATCATGGTTTCCACAAATATTAATCAGCACAACTGTTTTCAACATTGATAATAATAAGAAATGTTTCTTGAAAATCGTCATATAGAATGGTTTCTCAAGGATCATGTGACACTGACGACTGAAGTAATGAAGCTGAAAATTCATCTTTACCATCACAGGAATAAATAACATTTTAAACTATATTAAAACAGAAAACGGTTATTTTAATATTACTGTTTTATTATATTTTGGATCAAAGAAATGCAGCCTTGGTTACATAAGTGACTCTCAAAAACATTAAAAAAAATATCATACTAAGCAACTACTGTAGCTGACTAGTCTGTTTTGTAAATTAATAGTTTTGCACATATCTAGTGGGCAATAACCCACTTTTATATGCTATAAAATGAAAGCATTTTGTGAAAGGCACAATAGAAGCACAGGGTGGCAAAATGCGTCATTCTTCATGTCTTATAGAGTTCTTGATCTGAAAGGCCGGACATACATGCAGGCTCCCCAGCGTCATTGTGTGGGCTAAGCTGGTTGAGATGAGGATAAGGACAATAATACACCTGACAAAACAGCA